TTCCCTAGTTCTCAAATCGTACACTTCACTTAACAAGAGTCCACTTACATCAAATCAATACGAAACTATCTAAACAGGCACCTGACTGAATTATTCTACCAAATCATCTGAATTATTCCATACAATTCACCCTATATAATGGTGACGTGCTTCTACTTCAGTTGCGGCCATATTCTCAGATGAGCTCCGGTACCCATCTGAACACCGAAGATAAGCCTGTGCAAGCCTACGCCAGTACTGAGTTGAGAGATCACTCGGGAACGCTGGGTGCTGCAATTTTTATCATTTTATCACCCACCTATTATGATCCGCAAATCACGCCTCTTCTTCAAACGAATCTCACTCTCCCACAATAAGAGATCCCGTCTAAACCAGTCACTTCACAGTCTCCAACTTGTCACTGATCCAGTCAAACCAAAGGAGTTCTTCTGCTCAATGGCACATGATATCGCCCATAAACACCGTAAACAGCCTGCTATCAAGTATCTTGTAGAACAACTCGTAGACCTCGTTGACTTAGATTTCAACTCAATCCAGAACATCAAAAAGGTTGTTCTCCAAAAAGAAAGAGAACTAAAGCAGTGAGTCACTTCGTAGTATTTACTTCCCCTTCCTTCTTGTTCCACCTCCTCTTCAGAATCCGAAGCACTATTGTTCCTAATATTGCTATAACCATAATTACCATTCCCAGGCCTATCACCAACTTACTGCCCTTCTTCCTGTGAACTGTCTTCCTAATTGGCTTCCCCTTGCTCTTCTTCTCCTCTTTTTCAGTCTTAAACAGCTCCTCGATGTTCATCGTAGACTCCACCTCGTCATCCCCTGCCTTCCTCGTGTAATCAACGAATACGATTCCAACACCCTTCTCAATGCGCTTCTTGTGCTCCTCCACCGTCCTCGTCTCCTCTGGTAGCCCACCCATCATGTTACGATGCATCTGCTTCCACACTGCCAAACTGTTGTTAATGAACCTCTGAATGAACCTGTTGCTTCGTACAAACTTGTTGCTTGCCCTTCCTGCCCTATCGTACTGGTACATCCGTACGAACACGTCATAGGCAGCCAGAACGGTCTCATCTGCCCCAGGCACAACCCACTTGAATGTCCTGTAAAACGTGTCTTCTTCCCACTCCTTGTACTTGAATGCACTCAGATTCCCGTAGGCGCATCCAGTGAATTCTGCTGCAATTCTGGTCACATCAAATGCCGTCTTCTCACTCCACATCCTGAAGACCTTCTTTCCCTGCCTTGTGATTGAAATTGTCTCAAATCCACGTTTGCTGTAGACAAGCAGCCTCGTCCTGCTACTGTCGTTCTTGAAGTAGATTTGTCCATTTATGACTGGAACCATGTGCTCCTCAGTCTCCTTTGTCTGAGCGAGACTCACTACGACTCGTAGGAGAAGGAATCCCACTTTGGTGGAGCAGAATCGCCTGTAAACTCGTTTGAAGCAGACTGGGCAGATTGTTCCTGTTCCATCGACGGTGTCCAAGTAGTCGATTCTCTCTGAATCAACCACGCGAATGAGACTCATTTTGTAGTCACCGACACTGAAGAGGCAGTTTCGCATTCGTCTTTCCTTCTCTCCTGTGCAGCAAACTGAGTAGTCGACTACGAATGATTGTGTATAGCAGTTTGTGATAAAAATGAGTAAATTGGATATGAACATGGGGTAGATCATCAATGAATATTTTACTCCTATAGTCACCACTTTGAGTACTGCTTCCATAGACTGCTGAATATCCTATCAAATGCACTCAGATTGTCCTCGTTGCTTATCCAACTCTGCTCGTAGTAGAATTTAGTCAACCCCACTTCTGGTCCATCAACCACCTTCTCCACCACACTCATCTCAAGCTGCTCTCTTTCCACCNCTTTCCTTCTCTCCTGTGCAGCAAACTGAGTAGTCGACTACGAATGATTGTGTATAGCAGTTTGTGATAAAAATGAGTAAATTGGATATGAACATGGGGTAGATCATCAATGAATATTTTACTCCTATAGTCACCACTTTGAGTACTGCTTCCATAGACTGCTGAATATCCTATCAAATGCACTCAGATTGTCCTCGTTGCTTATCCAACTCTGCTCGTAGTAGAATTTAGTCAACCCCACTTCTGGTCCATCAACCACCTTCTCCACCACACTCATCTCAAGCTGCTCTCTTTCCACCTCTTCCTCCACCACAATCCTCTCGTCTCTCTCTCCTCCACTCTCAATCCACTCCTTCAGTCTCCTACCCTCTTTCTCTCCCATTTCTTCCATTTCACCCATTTCACCAGAATAGAGCAGTTTCTCCCTAGTCAATTCTACCGTATAATCCAACTTATCACTTCTTTCTGGTACACCTGGATCCATGAAACTATTCAGCCTATTCACAACGTACATCTTCCCCAATGACTCCCTTGATCTGCTTATTCTCTTCACTACCCTTTTTCCCATTTCATCAACATATTCGATCCAATACGTCCGTCTTTCGTAGCAGACCTGAATCCTCCTTGTCTTCTCTCCTGCATCCATCTCTCGTAGACTGCTCTCAAACAGCACGTCCACCTTCCCAGCTGCCACTTCCTCCACCACTTCCTTGATCTTCATGCTCGAGTTGAATACTCTTCCTGGTATCCTACTCAAATTAAGTCGCCCTGGTTCAAATG